AATGAATGCCAGCATAGAAGGACAAAGTGGCAACTCAGTGATGTATATAAAGTGAGGGCAAGAATGGGCGAAATCAGTCTTTTTCTGTTCACATCAGTTTGTAAAGACTCATTGATATATTTGTTCTATTTAGTTTCCAAGTTACTCTGCAATTTTTTAAACACCTGCATACAACTCTATTTAAATAAGCACTTTTCTTCAATATACCAGTTATTTTTAGAATATTTCATCTAAAACAGGTTTCTGTTCACTTGTGGCGTGAGTATTTAGTATATTATTTTAGATTTATTTTATGTTATGTTTCTTTCAACCCACCCAACCCACCAAACAATTCCTAAAATGCATTCTGATACATTTTTGACCTAAGAATTCTATTGCAATATTTACAAAATTGTAAAATGGAATGGGGGGGGGCTATGTTCTGATTCATTCAGGAGGTGTGAATCAGATCAGCTCTTACTGTCACGTGGAAAGAGCCTTCTTCAAGCATCCTAGCTGAAGGCAGAGCAAGGCAAAGAGAAAGAAGAAGACAAATGAACATGGAAGTTGTCTTCAACAGCAAATCTACCCAGGGAGGTAGGGGAATGAAGTGGTGAATCCAACAACATTTAGATTTCTGACTGATGCACTGCACAGATCTTTTTATAACCTTGAGCTCTGGCTGAGAACCTGGCTTCACTCTTTCTTGCCCTCTTCTCCAGGGGGAAAGGTGAGGTAAGAGCTGTTCAGCAGGGTCTGAAAATGCTGACTTTGTGTGCTGTTCTCCTTTTCAGTATGCAGCTAATTGGAATCCCTGCTGTTATCTCTGATCACTGATGGGAGATGACACTATGGACTGCTTCTTCTTTTTTGTCATAGTGAGAGAGCTTCAGGGAAAGAAGACTGATGACCTTTGGCATGATGGATGCTGATCTTTTCTGGGTCAAAACTCCTCCACCTCCAGCACCAGTTAGACCAACAGGCAAGCTGAATGGGAAACGTCTAGAATGGTCAGAGTGTTAATTGACCCACTCTGTTCCACTGTGGAAGGGCCTCTTTAGTTGGTGTCTTGGTGACTCTTAATTTCAGCCACACGTGGTGTGAACGAAGGACATAACGAGCTACAAAGCAGAGGTATTTGCTCTTAACCCTACTTGCCAGTTATACAAACACATAGTCATAAAAGCATTCTACATGACTAACAAGCACCTTCACAACTACAATGAATCAGATCTGCACGACTTTCCTGTTTAAAAAACTGATCAACAGGGAATGCAAAGTCCTACCTCTGTATTTCAGCATAAGAATGTATTTATTCCGTTTTAAGCAGTGGGGACTCTCTTCTATTATTTGACACCCATCCCTTCATTTCCTAATAACTCATGCAAGGATGAGAACTGGAGCAAATAAATCGCTAATGCGCAAGATACCACTGTGATGTTGGCACCTGCTCTAACATGGATCCTCTTGTGCTCCTGAGGACAGGAAAAAGAATTAAGCTCTCATCCTGATGGGTCCCTTGCAGGATGGAGCTTTCTCTGTTCTAGCTTGGTTCTTCCACTGTGGAGAAGACAGATGGGGCAGCTGGGAAGGAAAGATGTAAAGACTCTGCTCTCCTCTAAGAATATTTTTGCACGTTGCCTTTTTAGCTTTGTGTGCACCTTCTAGTGGCATATGTCGGGCTCCTCTGTGATCTTGCAGCTAAGTTCTTGCCAGATCCCGCTCTGTTTAATGTGTTAGATTTGGAACCATCTCAGCATTTCTTAATCCTTTTCTGGTGCTTGAGGGAGAGGGGTATCTCCTGGAACCTATCTTATTAAAATGTATTTTCCCCATTGGTTCCTAAAACACTTTCATAACGATCCACTGATTTTAGGAGATCGGAATGAAGAACTGCTTCAGAACAGGCTGTGAAAGCTGGCTAAGCCTGCTTTGACTCAGAAAAGTTAACTAGGCCAACGTTATAACAAGCAGGAAGACCTACATGGAGATCTCCTGACTATTCAGTATCAATGAGTAGAAAGGGTCCACTATGAAGCCATTCTTAAAATCTCTGCAAGAGGTAATGTACAGGTATGTTCCTCATCACTTATCTACCCAGTGCAAACATCTCTGTCCGAAACGCTTCCTAATTCTGAGACTAGGATTAGATAGTGTTTGAGACACCCTATGAAAGAAAGAAGCCACCAAATTCAGCAAGTACTACTCCAAACACATGCTTCACACAGTGCAAACCAAAGATGGGAAAGAAGGTCTTGCTGTTCATTCTAGTCTACAAACTTGAGATGGGCATGAACATAGGTTTGGCGGTTCATGCCAGTTCAGCCAATAACTGCACAGCTGATCTGTGGTTTGTGTCCCGCCCCCCAATTCCCTCTGGTGGGCACCCACTTGGAGGCAGTGCCTAGAGGAGATAGGGCAGGGAAGCTCAAGCGTTGCCTCCGACTGGGGTCCATTGGAAGGGACGGGGAACCAAACTGTGGATGAGCTGTGCAGTCATTGGCTGAACTGGCACAAATTGCCAAACCGGCAATTCATGCCCCTCTCTAGATAAAAACAACTCTGCAATTCCTCTGGTTCACAGATCACTGCTTAAGGACACTCAGTCCCATGTTCACATTGTCTATTTACATGTCTCCTGGGTATACTTTTTTTCTGTTCCGAATGGAAGTATGTTTTTTCTGCCCCAAGTTGCTGAGTTGCTCATGAGAGTGGAGAGAGCTTCCTGGGTCTGGTGGTTAAAGAAAAATATATCCAGATCCCACCCCCAGTCCAAGATCACCACAACCTCCCATGGCTTACTTCCGTTCCCCAAAAGGGTGTTCAGTTTTCTATGCTACGAACAGAGGAAGGAGATCAGCGCTCCCTTCCTCCTCAGCCAGTCCATTCATAGACCTTCACAGGATTTCCTCCACTTGGTAACCGCCCCCAGCTGGTGGAGCAAACTGCCAGCGGAGGTGAGCCAGGCTCCGTCCCTCCCAATATTCAAGAAATTAAGACAGAATTGTACAAGGCCGGCTGTAAGAACATCATACCCACAAATCATGTTAATTTTAATGTATGTTAGGTTTTCTGTAGATGACCACCCTTGAGTCATTTATAGCACCATTTTCATTATGTTATTACGGGAATGAAATGGGTGGCGCTTGTGGGGTTTTGCTTGTTTGTGCATCAGAGTAGTGTGAATTCACTAATCCGGCAATATATAAATTCCATAAATCAAAAATAATAAATTGTTTGCATGGAGCTCCTGATCCTCTACAATGAGCAGTTTAGTCCTCCAATACAAAGCTGATCCACACCAATCACCTCTTATCTCTGCATCGTATGTGATGAGTATGTGTTTCTCTAAATGCCATTGTATTTGAACAACAGCTGAACACTCACATGTTATTTATTATTTGTTTATTTACAATATTTTTACCCTAATTTTCTCGTTAAAAGGACCTAAGGCAGCTTACAACAATGTTCCCGAAGTGATATAGTAATCATGCATGTTTTTGCACACTGAAGTTCTGTTGGAGGGTATGGGTGAGTGTAAGCGTATCTGCTTTATGTTGTTGGAGAGTGTCAATTTGGTTGAATATTTCATTTGCTCCAAACCTTATAACAAGATCTTAACAAGAGAAATTGGATAGCGGAGGAGGGCTACACACATTGGCAAGAGAGAGCTTTCATGCAGTCAAAGAATTCCACACTAGAAACTAATCCATCCACATGCAGATTACAAGAGATATTAAGATTCACACTTCCAAAGAGCATGAGGGAAAAGAATGCAGGGAGGAACTCTGTACCTTAAATAATTCAAATTCCTTTTTTGGCATCAACAGCTATCAACAAAGGACAAGCATTTGAATTTAAAATAAATGACCAAGGAGAAATTAAGACTCCTCACAATGGCAGTGGCATCAATCAAGCAGAAGGTGATAAATACAAAATCTCCTAAAGTTAAAAGGGACAGAGTCTGTTCTGTGTTATGATGACAAGAAAGTGACTCAGCATGTAAAAAGAGAGACATTAATCTACTTTGTATTTGCAATATTACCTACTCAGAATACATGGTGGTGTCTTATACATGGAAAAATACGGTAACTTGGTTCTGCTTTTGGGACTAAAGAAAGAAATCATATGTAACAATTTACTTCCAACCCACATGCTTACAAAACACAACTTAATACAAAGATTAAAACAAATTCTCGGGATTGATTCCTTTCATCAAGAACATGAAACTCTCACTCTCATTCCTGTAGGGTTTCTCAATGTCCTGCAGTTTGTTCTGTATCCACATCCAATTGTGAAACTCTCCCTCTCACTGCCTGATGGCACATAGATTTATATGTGGTTTTCCAAAAGATGCACTTTTTAATCTACACAGTTTGTATGCATTTTTCTTGTGTTTGAATCATGTTAGCACAGGTTTTCCAAACATATGTGCAGATTTCTGATATGAAGGCACCACTTGTGTGTAGAGTAGGACCTCTGTATCCGCAGAATTGGTATCTGCGGTTTCACTTATCCACTGTTTGAAAACATTAAAAGAAAAAAACCTAGAAATATATGTTTTCATAATGTACTCACCAGAACTAGCCACTAGAGGGAGAAAGAGACCTTGTTATAGTTGAAGAATACATAGCATGGTCTCTGGCTTGGAGAAAGAGACCTTGCTATGTGTTGTGATAGTTGAAGAATACATAGCATGGCCTCTGGCTGCCTCTAGTGGCTAGTTCTGGTGAGTACATTATGAAAATTATTTTTTCTGGATTTTTTTCTTTTACCATGCTATGTATAGCATTCACTATTATCCGCGATTTTCAGCATCCACAGGGGGGCTTGGAACCTATCCCCTCTGGATACGGGGGTCCCTACTGAATTTACCCCAGTGCAACACTCAGAAATGTGCTGCTTTTCAAGGCAAGCTGCCTTCCATTCTGCACTACCTCTCAGGACGTATGAAACGGGCAACTCCAGACTGAAACATTAAGTCCCACAAACTTCTTTTCCAGCTATAGCAATGGGGGTACCTGTATAGTGTGCGTGTAAGGCAGCTCTGCGCAGCCCGCTTCCTGAGTTCTGAGAGGCTCCAATATATTGTTTGGCACAAACCCGGTGACTCCACTTGCATTCTGGACCTTCCACCACTGCTTTCTGTCGTCAAGAATCTGGAACAAAGCAAATGGTATCACATGGAAAATGTTGATAAACTCCTGCTCTTGAGGTCACTCAAACACACACAGCTGATCACTTTACTAATGAACACCAAAGTAGATGCATCAAATCAGGCCAGATTGTTTGCCCATTTAGTACAGTACAGCTGCTTTTAAAGCCCTCCAGGTAGAGATCATGCCTGTTACCCTGATACTGTATAAACCAGGGAGGTATCAAGGATTATACCTGGGACTTTATGGCAATGGCAAACATCACCATTGTGCCAATATAGATATTCTGGATTAGACCTAAATCCTGTGCAAGTGTTAAACATGAAAATGCACAGCCCTGCAATAATGGAGAGAGAGAGAGAGATGTGGGATGGATATGCAAGCCCTACCAGCCACCTCCCCATCTCACCTGGACATCACGCAGATCTTTGCTCATTGCAAGGTTCTGAAGAAGTGCTTGTAAATGCGCGTTATATGCCTCTAGGAGCCTTGCGGCGCAGTGGTTATATTGCAGCACTGCAGTCCAGCCCCTGCTCACAACCTGACTGCAAGGTTCTGAAGAAGTGCTTGCAAATGCAAGCCTTTAGGAGCCTTGCAGTGCAGTGGTTATATTGCAGCACTGCAGTTAAGCCCCTGCTCACAACCTGAGTTCGATCCCAGCGGGCTCATGTAGCCAGCTCAAGGTTGACTCATCCTTCCAAGGTCAGATAATGGGCTGGGGGGGGGGAGTGTAGCCTGCATACTTAAATTGTAAACTACCCAAAGAATGTTGTAGCGCTATTGAGTGGTATATAGCAGCAGACTTTTGCCTTTTCGTACTTGGGATTTTAACTGTTCTGCTGCTGACTGAAATATTATCTGTTGATTTATGTTTTAAAACTCTGGATATTTTTTTATAAAAAAATCTATGCTGACACGGAAGGTTCCCTGTGGATTGGACAGTACAGTATTAGGGAAGTATTCCAGAAGTTATGATGTTGAGTTTGAAGTGAGACAAACCACAACTCCTAGAATTCAACAGGCAGCATGGCTGTCTCAGGAATTCCGGGAGTTTAAATCCCAAATCACAAATTTGCACACTTCTAATATTTGATAACTAATTCTAAGTTTCCTGGGTGACAATAAGATATCAAGGTTTTATACAATGAACCTGATAAGAATTGAGAGAGAGAGAGAGTTTAAATTAACCCTGGCTTAGAAACTCACTTGTTTGAACTCAGTCTCCCAGAATCTCCATAGCCGTATTGGGCTGCTGACTGAGAACTATAGTTCAAAGACATGATGTTTCCAAACTCTGCTTTTATGTATTTATATTTAGGATTCCTAGGCAAATAAATAAATAAATCCTACAACTGTTAATCATTGAGTCCAGCCTTCTCAAGGGTGCACAATGGGGAATCGAATTCCTCACTTCTGACTCTGTAGCCAGATACTTAAACCACTGAACTATCCATTGTTTGACCACAAATCTCAAAGGAAAAAAAACCCAAATTGGTGGCCTACAATCCTCCCAGTTTTAGTAAAGCATCATCTGCATACAGGAGGCAAATGTTCAGGTCCCAGAAACTCCTGTTAAGAGGATTCGGTAGCAAATGATGGAAAAAGATCCCAGCCTGAAAAGCTTCTGCCAGTCAGAGAAAACAACACTGGGATAATGATCAACTTGTCCGAAGCAGATTCCTATCTTCCCATTTCAGCCAGTTTGGCATCATGGTTAGAATGCTGGAGTAGGATTTGAGAGACCTGCGTTCAAATCCCCAATCGGTCAGGAAGCTCATTGGATGAATATGGGGCCAATAATGTTTTTTTTTTCACCTTAACCTACCTCACAAGTTGTCATGAGGAAAAATGGTCAGGCAGCTCACTGGATGAATACAGTGGGGTCTCTACTTAAGAACGTCCCTACTTAAGAACAATCCAACTTAAGAACAGCTCCATTTGCTAAATTTTGCTTCTACTTGAGAACAGAAATCCAAGATAAGAACAGGAAAAAAAACCTTTCCTGCTCTTTTTTTAACCTTAGATCATCTTAGGTTAAAAAAAATTCTCACCCTAGTCGTAGAGTACGTATTAACCAGCTTTGCATTAGTTCCTATGGGAACTAATGCTTCAATGCACGAACGCACCTCTACATAACAAAAAAACAGCCAGAACGGATTAATTGGTTTTCAGTCCATTCCTCTGCGAAATTTTGCTTCAACTTAAGAACGTTTCAACTTAAGAACACCATTCCAAAACGGATTAAGTTCTTAAGTAGAGGTTCCACTGTAGTTTCTATGGACGGAAAAGAGCAGATACGGATTAAATGGTTTTCAATGCATTCCTATGGGAAATGCAGATTCAATATAAGAACTTTTCAACTTGAGAACCACCTTCCAATACGGATTAAGTTCTTAAGTAGAGACCCCACTGTATTGGGCCAATAATGTTTTTTTTTTTCACCTTGACCTACCTCACAAGTTGTCATGAGGAAAAAAAGGGAGAAGGCAAACTGCTGGATAGCTCAGTGGTTTATGTATCCGACTGCAGATCCAGAGGTTGAGAGTTTGATTCCCCACTGTGCCTCCTTGACAGGGGCTGGACTAGATGATCTCTCTGAAGTTCTAAGATTCTAAGGTGGGAAAACCACATGCTCAGGCTTATGCTTAGTAAAGACAGGATAAAGAAGTACCAAGCAAGCAAGCAAGCAAATTTTACTATTTTCTTCGAACATTTCTAGAAGCAACATGCAACTAAACTAGTCATATTTAACAAGAATTTCTACCAAACGCTTTTGATAAAGATGATGATACAAGTGCGCCAGGCATCACAGAAAACGCCTGGGGAGGAGTGCGTGAATAAAAAAACAAGAACTGAAATTACTTCCAAAATGTCATCCTTCATCACGGAAAGTTCACTCTGGTTCCTTCCCACAAAATCGTACTTGGTTTTGGCATATTTCTTGGGAGGGGTTTTATGCGCTTCATAGTTCCTGCAAAGCAAATGGACCAAATGTTACCCAGCTCCAACTTTTACCGAGGAGACGGAAGAAGCAGGTCCTGCCTGCCAGCAAATATAATTAGGGACTGTGATTTGCCCAGGATTTACAGCCATGAAGGCAATCAGTCATCCCTCACAACGACAAAAAGCTGCCAACAGGAAGCAGCACTTGTAGCCGCTGAAGCAGTTGCAAATACTCAGAGTGCGTGCACATGCACATTCAACAGACACACACTTTTTTTACAGCCTGGGGTGGGAGAAATGTAAACAGATGAGCAAATCCCATCATTTTTGGGCTTCTTCTCTCCCCACCTCCCACCCACCAAATGTTGTATGCAAATAACTGTTTGTGTTTTGTCTCAGAACATCCCTTCATTTTAAAGCATTATTCTTTGCGCGGCAATTCACGTTAATGGTCCTAAATGCCATCCGTTCAGAGACTACAGGAACAGGCAGGGTTGAACATCTAAAACGTTCCAGATGATATTCGTGAATAAATGATAAGACAATGAAAAGGGAGGATTTTGGAAAACAAGACTCGATGGAAAACAAAATGCAGCAGCGACAAAACACCGTAGGATGTTAACATTACTTCACAGAAAGTTGAATGGATGTTCTTGGCATTCATCCATTATAATCTACTGATTCTGAACACTCCTTGCGGGTGCTCCAGTAGCTACCTACTTCTTGGCTAGCTGTGGAGAACTGTCACAACTTACTTGAAGAGAGGAGCAGAAGGACACTACACAATGCTCTTAGTCTGGACCTCAGTTATCCAGAATACTTAATGTTTAGACTCCGTTGCAATGGCCAATATAACCAGGTATGGATGTGACCCAGTGTAAAAGGTATTCCCTCCCCACATCCCCAATCATTATGTTCTGCATTCCTTCCTCTTGATCCCAAAACCATTTGGATAAATGAGGCCCACAAGACTGACAGGTAATGTTACGCGCCTGTAAGACACCTGAAAGAAAGGTGCACACTTTAGTCAGACAGGAAGAAAGACACAATATGGCGTAGCCAATTGGCGACTTGCTCCCACTAAATCATCAACTTCCCTGTTGCGTGTTGGGCATGACGTCATGCTGTGGCATGATGGCATGTGATATCTATATAAACGGGGTATCTATATTTGTATGGTGAGTGTTGTGTATATTTTTAACTTTTTTTGTAGTGGTGTTGTCCAGTTTTACCTTGGGGAAGAGCACCTCATTTCGTTGCACCCACTTGTGAGTGCAATGACAAATAAATTTCTTATGTCTTATGTCTTATATCTAGTTAGGGTTCTTCAGGATTCACACCCTGTAGGTGCTTGCTGGTCTTGTTAAGGTGAAGCTGAGCTCTTATAGTCAGTGTACGCATGGGCGAAAGACAGGGCAGAGTTTGGAAAATTAGTTCTTTGGATTAGAATTCCTAGAATCCCCTAGCAGTACAACCCCTAGCCATAATAATAATAATAGATAACTGTGTGCCGCCAACTCAATTCTGACTTAATGCGGTCCTTTTCAGGTATTCCAGGTCAAGAATACTCAGTAGTCATTTATTATTCCCTTCATCTACAGGTACTCTGGGACAGTGTAGCTTGCCCAGAATCAAACTCTCAACTTCTGGCTCCTAAACCACTGAGCTATCCAGTCAGTTACTGGTCAGGATAACTGGGAGGATTTTGGAAGTTGTAATTCAAAAGCTAAACTTTGTGTATGCCTGCCACTTTAAGCTGGTCTTTAGTTTTGTGTTATACAGGTAAGATTCTCTAGCAGCTGGGATTAAAAGAAGGCAGATTAACTCTGAGATGCAAAAGTCGGGGGGGGGAGAGAGAAAGGATAGAAAGGGAAAGGGGCGTCGGAACAGACAGAATGCTTGGAGGAACATTTGATTTGACAGCTATGGTGTCACCTAAAATCAAGATACCACATCATACAGCACAAAATGAATGAGTGCACTCATGCACCTCCTTCTTCTGCTTCCTGTAATCAGCAGAGCTCCCCTAATAAGCTACTTCGCAGTGACTCAAGGAGAAGCAAGCAAGTATGACTATGGTGTATGCTTGCTTTCCTAAACGAAGAAATATAAGGATGAGCAGAATTTGCCATAAATTTCAAAGTCAGCCAGCCTTAAGAGCACAGTGATTTGAAGAGGGACTGTTAAGTAATTCACTTCATTAGAAAGAGGGGAAGCAACCACTTGACAGCCCTATTTCTAAGAGGTTTGTTCCATCAAAACATATGCATTTAATATGGAGCAGATGAACAGGTAGATTAAGCTAAGTAACCAATCAAATCACACTGTGGACAGTACAAGCAATCAGAGATCCATGTGCCTGTTCGTTTTCGGAAACCTGCACATCAACCCTAACATAGAGAAGCAGGGGGTGAGGTGGGGAAGCAAATTGTCGCTTACTTCTTCCAGTATGACTCATTCATACTAACACCTTAAAAATCCAGAGTATTAGCTCCTTCTCACTTTGCTCCGTAGGGCAGAAACAGTTCCTTATAACAAGATCCCAGGGAGAATATCTCTTCTGTATCACTTTTGATGCTAGTAATAGTTAAGCCCAGCTTGAAAATCCCACTGTTGACCTTGGCCATAAACAAGGGAACTTGGTAAGTGATGCGTGGTTCCAGCCTCCAATTGAGAGCTTATGATTCAATTCTCTATCTCTTTTGGGATGCGCTCATTGACAGCAGTGCGTTTAAAGAGAACTTGTCTGAGGCATTTAGGGGGGAAAAAGAGACTGGTATATATTAGCTCCAACACAGAGAGGGTTTTGTACTTCTAGAACCAATAAAGAGAAAGAAGAGCGCAAAGAGGAAGGCACCTCCACCCTAAAAGCAGTTGGCTGCAACAGTTCTCCACAGCTGTACGCATGACGTCCAATGAAAGGTTACCTATCTACATGTCGGCTAACACTTTGCTTAAAGGCTGCTACAGCTGCCCCCTGGTCCGGCAGAGGCCCTCTTTTGTAAGCTGTTTTACTGAATGCATACCCTTCAGACGGAGGATAATCTGAGATACTGGAATGCTGGAACAAAAGAAACAAGAGAAGTTTATTCTTAATCACAACAAATTTATGAAAAAAAAATTTTCACTATATGTAACTGAGAGGTTCTCTAAATACAGTGATGCCTCGCAAGACGAAATTAATTCATTCCGTGAGTCGCGTCGTATTGTGAAAATTTCGTCTTGCGAAGCACAGCCACAGAAAAATTCATCTTGCGAGTCACTAAAAAAATAATAATCACAAAACACTTTCATCTTGTAAGTTTTTCGTTGCGTGAGGCATTCGTCTTGCGAGGCATCACTGTATTGGATGACCACCAGTACCACAGTTTTAGCCTGAACCATACAACCATTTTTCAATACAGAGGATCATGAAAACCTAGAAGTGTTTTGCAGACGCTCTGCGACATATATTCCTGCCAACCCATGATATGCCAGAAAATGTGAGCCAGTCATTGTTGAGGTTTGATCGTTCTATGTGTTGGGATGTTTGCTAGCTCATCACATTATAACCATCAACTCCATGACAATTTTCCCACGTTTCATTTCTAATCTGGATAATAAACATTCCCCTTAATATACTATTTGATCCAGGATTGTAGGCCTCTTTTCATACAGAATACTGTGTTATGATTCCTTCATAATTTCCTGTGGCTTCTTCTACTCCTGTTGGCCCTGTGGTACATATATGACCAGAATCTAGATGGAAACAGAAAGAGGGCAGAGAGCATGACCATTTATTAAGGTACTTTGCAGAAACAGCCATTCATGACAATGCAGAGAGAGGATGATTTCATGGATGAGCTAAAATTCTAAAGCTCAATTTAGGTGCAACAAAGTATTGTAAACCATGTTTGCACAGTCACAGAACAGAGGAAGCAATATCTGACCCAGCAGGACCAGGTGGTATGTCAGTCCTTCCTGGCAGCGCCATGAGCAAACATAACAGGTAACAAAAGCAACAACAGGTCACAGCATCCTCCAAATTTCTTGCCAGGAAGTGATGCCAGAATGGCTGGGCAGGTAAGGCATTACTTCCACCCTATGGCTTTGTTCTTGGCCACATCCTTCCCACAAAGTTGCAGAAGGGCAGACAGGCGAAGTTGTCTTATAGCAAATACAACCAACCATTGGGCCACCAAACCCAGAATTGCCTATACTGTCTACCAGTGCCTCTCTAGGGTGGTGTGGACAGGAGGTGACTTGTGGAGCATGCGTGTACCTCAAGGCCATGTTGAAAGACCCAATGTCCTCATTTACTTATTTATTTACTGAATTTGTACCCCGCACCATCTGGCAACCAGGGAGGCTAACGACAGTATAAGCAAGAATATCGAAACACGATAAAAAATAAATTAATACATAACACATAACAAATAGGGTAAATTAAAACAGATGGTGATGAAGGTGGAAAACAGGAGTGATGGAGAGGATGGCAAAAAGGATGGTAAAAGGGAGGCCAAGATCTTAATGCTCCGGGAAAGCCTGGCAGAAGAGCCAGGTCTTCAATGCTCTTTTGAACCCATCCAGCGAGGGTGCCAGGCAGATCTCAATAGACAGGTTGTTACATAGGCAGCGGGGGGGGGGGGACTGAGAAGGCGATTTCTTGACCTTTCCCTTCAGGCCTCCTTTGGGGTCAAGGTCCTCAACTGCCCTGCCTGTGAGGAATGGGTATTATGGACAGATCTGGATGGGAGCAGGCGTTCTGATAGGTGCCGAGGTCCTAACTGAGGTCTTTGAATGTTGCCATAATAACCTTCAAGTCGATGCGGAAATGAACTGGTAGCCAATGAAGGATGGCCAGAGTGGGGGAGATATGCTGGAATTTCTTCACCCTAGTTATTAATCTGGCCACTGAATTTTGGACCAGCTGGAAGGCTCTGCATCAGCCTCAAGGGTAGGCCCACACAGAGAGTACTGCAGTAGTCTATTCTTAAGTTTACGAGGGCATGAAACAGGGTTGTGAGTACCCCACATCTAGACAGGGACACAGCCGGGCAATCCTCTGAAGGTGGACATGGGCTGCCCAGACCACAGATGCCACCTGGGTTTCCATGGGGAGATCTGGGTCCAGGCAGATGCCCAAGCTGCCAACCTCACTCTTTGTGGGAAAAGTCACTCCCCCAAAGGAGAGGGAGTTTCCCAACCCACTGACACCAGGGCCACCCACGCGCAAGTTTTCTGTCTTGTCCAGATTCAACCTCAGTCCATTTGCCCTCGTCCACTCCAGAATGGTCCCCAAGCAGCATTCAAGGGTCGGAACAGCATCCACTGCAGTTGGAAAAAAGGAGAGGTAGAGTTTGGTGTCATCAGCGTATTGATGACACCAGTCCCCATAACTCTGGATGACCTCACCCAGCAGCCTTATATAGATATTAAATAGCATTGGCAAGATGATTGACCCCTGCAGAACCCCACAATTGAGGATCCATGGGGTAGAAGGCATCTTGCCAAGCTGCACTCTCTGGGGACAGTCCTCCAAGAAGGAATGGAGCCACTTCAAAGTGAGGCCACCGATTCCCAACTTGGAGAGCCACCCCAGGAGGACACCGTAGTCGACAGTATCAAAGGCTGCTGAGATACTGAAGAGGACCAACAAGGACACATTGTCCCTGTTGGCCTTCCTCAAAAGGTCATCCTGCAGGGCAACTAATGCTGTTTCATTAACATGGTGTGGCCTGAAGCCCAACTGGATGGATCAATGGCAACAGTTTCCTCCACGAGGGCTGGGGTTGATCGGCCATCACCCTCTCGACCACTTTACTCAAGAAAGAAACATTGGCAACGGGTCTATAATTCCCAATTTCATCCACCGCCAAATCAGGTTTCTTTCCAATGGGCCTAATGAGTGCCTCGTTGAGGGCAAGTGGAACCATGCCCTCCAGAAGAGACCCATTAATTATTGTGGTGGCCCATTCTGTTGTTATTGGCTTGGCTGCTTTGATAAGCCAGGCCGGACAAGGGTCTAAAGAGGAAGTGGTGGCATGACAGCGGGCAAGCACCCTGTTCACCTCACTGGACGCCACAAGTTGAAAGCAAGTTAACCTCACCGGGCAAGACGATGCCCTGGACATCTCAGCTCGATCTACTGATCAAGGTCCCGGCGGATGGCCTCCACTTTAGATTTTAAAAATGCCGCAATTTGGTCACAGGAAATACTGGAGGGATGATCACCACCAAAACAGTTACACTGATACAAGATCTGATAGCTGATCTTCTCAAAGGTGGCACCAACTCTCTCTAGAATTCATCTCTGGATGGAGCTATGCCTGGCTCCCTGCCTCTCAAATTTCAAGAGGCTGCTGAAGACTCATCTCTTTCGAGAAGCCTTTATGGCGCCTCTTCTGAATTTGCTCATGGGCTTAATGCCTTGTCTGTTTTCCTCCATTATTGTTTGTTTTATGTGGTGTGCGATTGTGTTATTTTTATATGTACACCACCGAGAATAGTGCTGTGCCCAACAAAGATGTTTCTGGCTTTCCTTTCCTTTCCAGAAGGGAATAAGATGCTCTCATCTGCTGACTGGCAGGGTTGATTGTGTTATTTTTATATGTACACCACCAAGAATAGCGCTTTGCCCAACAAAGATGTTTCTGGGTTTCCTTTCCTTTCCAGAAGGGAAGAAGATGCTCTCATCTGCTGACTGGCAGGGTTCTATGGCAGAGGATAGTCTTCTGACATCCTCCTGTACCACAGAGAGATAGTTCAGTCCACCTAGTAATGACCACCAGATCTCAAGAGCCGGCAGAAGGAACATTTGGGGTGCCAATGGACCTTGGAGGAGGGAGAACTTAATGGAGGCCCCTTCGTTCTGAAGAGTTGTCCATCACTGCTCAAGAGCTGTAGGCAGCTACATGACATGATCTTCTTAATGGCAAAAGATGCTATTGGACCTTTGGACCACCTCCGTACTAAGCACATGTTCCAATACTGAGACACGAGCCTTCTGGAACCAGGATACAAGTACTGGCTGCTGTGAGATCTGATCTCAGATGCCACAGAATGCATTTGTGATTGGTGTGTGCAGCCTAGATCCACAAAAGTGCCATCTAGCTTGTACAACTATGGACATGAAAGCAGACATGGGTATGATCTCTGCAAAAGCATATAAAACCCTGTTAAAAACAGCAATGGAAATAAGCAACTCCACCCTGTATTTCATTACAGTAATTATGCCCAAGCAGGAAACCCATTTAAGAGGAAAGGGGATAAAAAATACACACACCCCACAATGCCACAGTGGATGTCACCATAGCTTCAACTCTGAATAATTTTCAGGAATCAGAATTTATGATGCACTTTCCTAGATGCCAGATCAAAGCTTACTTCCCTGGGTTAGGCACCGTCACCATGGCAGCCGCAAGTATGCTGTTAATTCACACTGGGGTGCATTTTTCTATATTAAAAATGGAAGCCCTGTAGGAAAGAGGTGAACTTGCGGGTAGGGTGAGCTACAGTGCACCGATGCTTTCATGCTGTCGGAGCACTAGGCTTATGAGACTCTGCTGAGAAAAAGAAAGGTTTTGTATTGATGTTTTCACTCTTTTCCAATCCGAGTAACAGGTCACAATGCCGTGACCACAATTTCATTGTCAGGAATCAGGATTTTTTAAAATCCTTTCCTTTCCCTAGAATTCCACCATGTTCTATCCTCATCTCATACTGGGCTGCAAGACTTTCACTCAACATTAAAAAAACGCCCATATTTTGAGACATCTTTTTCCAGTACACACATTTTTGCTCCTCTTCCCCTTAAGCAATGCATGTTTACCCACATTTTTAAAATGTATGCATATTAAGTCAACACATTTACTTGTGCATAACTGGAAAAAGAAAATCACGTAACAACTGCAGTTTCGTCTTACAGGACAGGAAACAGAAAGATACGTGCATGCTACTGTTAACAGTCTTGAAAATTACAAAGTCAGTTAAGTAATTAAAATATCTAGCTACTCTTGCTAACTGGAGGTGACCAAGAGAAACGGCCCCAAACCCAAATATCTGTGCATGTTTTAGAGACTACAAACTGCTAGCCACTGGAACACAGGACCTGAGCAGAAACAGGTATTTCTAAGTTTGGAAACTTTTACCCACATATATTGAACGCTATTCTTAAATAAATAATACGATCCTTAGATTACCCTACATTCCGTCTAGGCACCTTGACACGCTCGCTTTTACAGTGGCTGACACAGCATTTTTGCAGGTTAAAGAAGAAGTGTTTCTGAAGATGTATTCTCGAAGGCTTTCATGGTCAGGATCTGATGGTTGTTGTGGTTTTTTGGGGCTCTTTGGCTGTGTTCTGAAGGTTGTTCTTCCCAACGTTTCGCCAGTGTCTATGCCTGGCATCTTCAAAGGACTGGAGGAACTATGTCCATGCTCTATTGCTGTTTGCTGGATAGTTGAGTATTTATAGTTGTGGGAACAGCTTTTGTCCTTTTCAGGAGGTAGGGTGATCAGTGTGTTTTTGTTGTGGATGTATTGTTATGATAAGTGGGAGAGATTATCTGTCACTGTGGTTGATGGGTGTCTTTAGCTGGTCTCTTTTGTGCAATGATCCCTAGTCCTTGTGGCTGGCTAGAGTTTGTTGACCTTCTGCACGCTGTATTTTCCAGTGATGGAAGCCAGGCCTTGTTCAGTTTCAGACTTTCCTCTTTTTTGTTGAAGCTATGCTGATGTTATGGATTTCAATGGCTTCCCTGTGCAGTCTAACATAATGATTGCTGGTGTTGTCCAGTACTTCCGTATTTTGAAATAGAATTTCATGTCCAGCTTGTTTCAGGGCATGTTCAGCTACTGCTGATTTTTCTGATTGTTTTAATCTGCAGTGTCTCTCATGTTCTTTGATTCTGGTATGAATGCTGCATTTTGTGGTTCCAATATATACCTCTCCACAACTGCAAGGTATCCGGTATAAAGTATACCAGCTAAAGACACCCATCAACCACAGTGACAGATGCTTCTGAAGACTCCACGTCCAGTGGAAGGAATTTTGGATGGGCAGAACTGGGTGAATCAGGGAAACTCCAACTGCCACTGATTTAAGTTAAAAACAGAAACACAGAAATATTATAATTAATTAATTAATTTTGTGCCTTCAAGTCAATGCTGATTTATGGTAACCTCTTTCAGGGTTTTCTAAAAAGGAAGCACTCGGAAGTGGCTGACCATTCCCTTCTTTTAGGGGCATCCTGGGACTGTGCAGCTTGCCCAAGGCCAAACTGGCTGGCTTTTCTCCTGAGAGGCACAGGGGAGAACTAAACTCCCAGACTCTGGCTCCACAGCCAGGTATCTAATTTACCGACCTATTCAGCCAGCTTAGAAATATTTTAGTTCTAAAGAAAACAAATTGTTGATTATATCGTTGGGAAAAACTGTATCTTCTAGAAAATCTTAGCCTGCTATTCCCATTAATACTATTGTCCACAGTGGCTTGGGTTTCTGGGAGATGGGCTCTAAAATATCTAAGACGAACAAATGGTTTCCAGCCCTGCTAAAAATGGAAAGATCACAGATTTAAAAAGTCTAGGTGTGGTGTTGTTATAAAGAAAACAAGCTCTTAGCTGAGGGTGATGGATCCAATGGCTCGCTCATGCTCTGAATAAAAATGTGTCTTTAATCTGCTTATGAAATTATTATAAAATCATTAACACAAAAGTTGTGTGTGCCTGTGTGTTTTTGACCTTGTGTTTCTTTCCCAAACTGGGGGTGATTAGCCAAAGAAGGAGAGAATATATGCTATTTTTCATCCTGGTGGATCACGTTTGGATTCAAAGTTCCCTCTAAGACTAGCAGCCACTTTGATTCCAATTGCAATGGAATCCCACACCTGTGGGAGGCAGTGGAGTCATGCATGCACACAAGGGAGAACTTGCATGTGAGAATGGCACAGCCCCACCCAGCGGGGCTTAAGATCAGAGGGTATGTTGCTTGGGTTCCATCTCCAACATTGTCCACAGTAGCCTCCTCGTTCTTACTGAACGTTCTTCTTCTCAACAAGAAAGGCATTGTCTATAGAAAGCACCCCACTTTTTGCTCACAGGCAGATTTGCTTTGAAATGAATGTGGCAACCCATACGTGCAATGGTATATATCAATATCTACACACACACATACACATACACGCAGTGGTGGCTGCTGGCAAATAAGGGCTACTGTATTGTTTTTCAATCAGCGTCACAAAGCAGCCCCCCAGTGCTTTATGGATTCTGTTGCAAGGTCGTTTTGCAATCAACCTGATAGATCACTGATGCCCAACCTTGGGTCTTCAGATGTTCTTCCACTAAAACTCCCAGAAGGCTTCACCACTGGCTGTGCCGGACAGGATTTCTGAGAGTCACAGTGTAAAAAACATCCCAACAAGGTTGGGAACCGCTGTGATAGACGCATGCAAACCCTCCTGCCCACTGCATGTAAAATACACAGCACCGCCTGCCCTACCTCAGTGGACAACCGCTTCATCTCCTGCTTCCGCTGCTGTTCCGCTACGTTGGCCACCGACTCTGCTAACTGGTTGAGCTCTTGTTCCTTGGGGACCCCCATGAAGCTCAGCAAAGGAGGCTCCCAACCATTTCGGAACCGGGGCACATAGGGCGGGATGAAATGTTCTTTGGGCCATTCTGCTCTGCAATGAGGAGGAAGCCAAGAACACATGGTAAGAGTGGATATTTTTGCCAACATGGAAACCACCAGGAGATCAGCCTGAGCAGACTATTTGTTCCACCCGTCACTCCTGTTTTCCTTGAAAGAGATGCCCGAGTCTGGAAGAAGGAAAGACCTTCTTACATAGTGAAGACACTACTCATTACAGTGTTTGAGAAATAGCCCACTGTCATTATTCATTCCAATGCTGGAAAAAAATAATAACTTGCTCTATTAACTTGGTGCACAGATCATAATGTTTTTCATTATTTTCAGCTACTTCTTTAGGAGGGAAAAACACCACCTCAAGATAGCTAACATTAAACTTGGAAATCTCCTGTCAGAACGCCTCCATTGTTGTTGTTTGTTGTCAAGTCAATCTTCAATTGACTTGATGTTACAGCCTCAATAAAGCTTCTTCAAGGTCAAATGGTCTGGTCTAAACAGGGTTGCCTTTGGTCAGAAGAAGGAGCAATACACCATTTGGTTTGATCCTCACATCCAAATGGCATACTGACATCAAGCAACCCTATTTAGTCTGGTTCCCTCCACTGTCAATTTCCAGTATCATGAAGTGGCTTAATAAACAAGCCATTTTGGGATTTTCACCAGGCAAACGTGGAGGAACAGGGGAAGTAAAATTATTATTTTTGGCCTCTGCTAGACCATTACTGATGTGCTGAATCATTTAGATAAAATTATATTTTCTTTGCCTTGTGTGTAGCACCAATTCAGAATCTGCACAGCCAGTTTCAACTGGCACTTCACACAAAGGCTATCTATCTATCTATCTATCTATCTATCTATCTATCTATCTATCTATCTATCTATCTATCTATCTATCTATCTATCTATCTATCTATCTATCTATCTATCTATCTATCTATCTATCTATCCCTACCTACCTACCTACCTACCTACCTACCTACTTACCTACCTACCTACCTACCTACCTACATCGAAATCCAGTTTGAACATCAGACATTTTCCCCTCCTTATATACTAAAGATTCTGCTGTGACACTTTGAACATTACTTTGCTTGCACTGTAACACAATTAATGCCTGTAAAAACGCCCCTTAAAATTAAAGCTGGCAAGAAACCACAAAGTGGCTGAAATCCAGGAATAGGTTGCACCAAAATAAACCCAACGAATCAGTGAAGATTTAGTAAGTGACAACACATATGTAAGTTCCATTAATTCAATAGGCCTACTCTAGTTGTTGCTTACTGATGGAATTGATTTGATTTCCCTGCTGCCTCTGTCCCAATTATGGGACCGGAGATGGCTAACTTTAACATTTCTGCCATGGTTAATTATTTTATCAATAAACTAACTCTGACCCTGCCTGGTACATTATTTCTGAAATATAATCCATTATACACTAGTTAACTCATGAGACAGAGATGATATCAATGTGTAACTAGACAGATACTTTTGGAAACAGTGAAAATATTCCACAGAGGTCCACCAGCTCCTGCTGCTAATGTTGCTGTACTAGAAATATGTTTTTCCCCATGACTAGAGGTGTCTGTATCATGCACATAAAAAGCATCAGCCGTGGTATGAAATACTGCCTCTTCAAAAGATACGAGTCCCCAAACGAGTTGTTCTTGTTTCTTTTCTTTTGCACTTTCTTATTTATGGATACTGTCTGAAATGAATCAAGGTGGAAAATACCATAAAACCTGTCTTGGGAGGATCCAGAATTAATTGGACAGAAGTATGTCTTTGCTTCCTCGTATGCTTGGGCAGATGGGGAAAGGACTGGATATTTTAAAATCATAATCATGCTTGGTAGTAAGTGGCATAGCACAAATGCAGTTCTGAAGCAGGACAGAGCTGGGGAAGACAGACAATTAGGATTCTTACATTCCAAGTTTCCTGCTTGAATCAAAACCCTTCCCACACTGAAAATCCCTTCCCCTCTGAAACACGTCACCCCAGGTGATAGGATTTTATCATCTCATCAATAACTCCACAGAAAAAGAAACACAACCTATATAAGAAACCACACCCTCCACCCAAAACATTCATGTATTATAGTAGGTCTCTTGGCTGCTGTTCAATTTGTCAAAGCCCTTGTTGTAATTCTCTTCAAAATTATGTGAAGAAAATATTTTTCCCCCTCGAGGAAAGACTAGTCATTGACAAGTTTTTAATAATCCTGACTCGTCGGAAAAAGGACCGGTAAGAGAGCAGACAATTATTCATCGTGCTGCTTCCATTTTCGCCTTCAAGGCTTTTCTCCAAAAGTACGGCTTTTCTAGCAACGTTTCTCTGTCGTCCCAGAGACCTTGTGTGCCGATTTCCTCAGCCAGGCTCACAAATGAATCTTGGAAACTTTTTAAAAGTTCATAACAAATGAGAGATTAGCTTTCATGTACTCCAAATTCTTCTATGGCTTGGATCAAGCACCTCCTGGGAGAACGGGGTGTCCCACAGAACCCCATGTTGAAGTATTTTGTTGCCTAATAGGTCATAAAATTTCCTGACACCCAGGGTCTACTTTGGTAGTTAAAATGAGTCTTTAACTACCAAAGGGTTCTAAAATCCTTGGATTATGTTGACAAATGTTGTTATTTAGTCATTAAGTCATGTCAGACTCTTTGTGACCCCATGGACCAGAGCACTCCAGGCCCTCCTGTCTTCCACTGCCTCCCGGAGTTGGGTCAAAGTCATGTTGGTCGCTTCGATGACACTGTCCAACCATCTCATCCTCTGTCGTCCCCTTCTCCTCTTGCCTTCACACTTTCCCAACATCCAGGTCTTTTCCAGGGAGTCTTCTCTTCTCATGAGATGGCCAAAGTATTGGAGCCTCAGTTTCATGTTAACAAATACAGGGCATTAATTAATAATCCAGACGAAGCATCTAAATCCTCCTTCATTTTTGCCAGCACACACATATTGGATGGGCCAACATTTCAATGAAACATTCAAACTACATAAAATTAAAATCTATTTAAAAACAGGCAAAAGATATAAATATTTTACCTGGCTTTGGTCCACGTGTCACCTAGAGACATCCATAGCTGTCTTTCTTCACTGGTGACAGTGTAGCGCAAAAAATCTATGGTATCTTTAGTTAGGAGAGGACTGAGGACTGTACTAGGGAGTTCTGGACCTCCTGATGCTTGTACTACCTACAGCAAATACACATAAAAATTAAAAAGTACATACATCTGTCTGCTTGGCTACCTATCCATCTATAGGGTAAAACCAATGTCACATGGAAAGACTTCTGATTCCCTAAAGGAAGTTGCCTGTCTCCTCCCTCCCCCTACTGCCACATGCACCCCAAACTGCTCCTGGATACAACCCACTGATACATATGTGATGCTGTGCTCCCCATTACTTCTGCAATCTATTCTTGGCCAAACTGAGCCTCAGAACTGAAGGAGCAAGGTATCCTCAACAACATGATGGTTTTTAGTGTAAGCAGAGTTTTCAGCCTTCAATGTATGGGTTTTCCATTTATCCTCACTGTCAATATGCACCTTAACTAGATTTTAAAAAGAACAGAGGGAGCCGCTCCAAATAACAGCTTATTTCAACACCAAGCACTCCTCTTACCATATTTAAGGGAGTAAAGAGAAAATGAATCAGTTCAGGTGCACTTGGATTCTGGATGTGAGCCTTTAATTTAGCCTGCAAGGGGACAAAGAAAAAAGTGAAATGGTGCTTTTTAAAGGCAGAAAATGAAGGAAATCAAAGTTCTGTTGTGTGTTTAGGGAAAACCTAATACCAGAAGAACAATACTTTGTTATCATCCCAGGTAGTGGGGAAGGTCTCTGTTGAGATCACTAACCCCGAAAGCTGAGTTTATCGAAAAGCTTCTTATTTAATGATAGTAGCACACATTGGCTCAATATGAACAATCCACCAAGCCACCTTTTGGGTGCCTAGGATCAGGCCTTTTGGCTTATAAATCCCTTCTTTTTCCTTCAACATGTTTGCTGCCACTGATTTCAAGATGACTCCCGTAATTCGCCTCAGAGTCCAAACTGGGCTGATGCTGGATTTCTCTCACCATCGTGGTTTGAAAGACCACTTCATCACTATAGGTAAGTGCTATGCCACTTAGTACCAAGCATGATTATGATGGCATGAAGTGGTCTTTCAAACCATGATGGTGAGAGAAATCCAGCATCATGTTGGAAGCTGGTTCCTCTCAAGGAGAAAGGTGGGGTATAGGTACAGTGGTGCCTCGCATAGCGAGGTTAATCCGTTCCGGATTAACCTTCGCTATGTGAAGACTTCGTTAAACGGAACAAAAAAAAGCCATTGGAAAGCATTAAACATCATTTAATGCATTCCAAATCGGCAGAAAACTCACCGTTTAACGAAGTCTTCCCATAGCCGGCAGCCATTTTCGCGCCCTCGGTCCATTTTGGACCCGCCAAACAGCTGATCCGCGGGTCGCAAAGCGAAGGTCAGTAAGCAAAACGCTTACCGATCTTCGCTATGCGAGTTTCGGCCATAGAGGCTGACGCGATGCCTCCGCATTAGCGATCCCGGAAAAGGGATCGCTATGCGGGTTCGTCGCTATACGAGGAGCTCATTAAGTGAGGCACCACTGTATTTGAAATAAATAAAATTTCAGGCTACAGCTCCTTAAATTCCCCAGTGAGCGTGGTCACTGTTCCCATATCGCCCGGGAGATGCTAGGAGGTAAAGGTAAAGGTTCCCCCTTGACAATTTGTCCAGTCGTGTCCTATTCTAGGGGGTGGTGCTCATCTCCATCTCCAAGCCTTAGAGCCAGCATCTATCCGAAGACAATCTTTTGTGGTCACGTGGCCAGCATGACTAGACGTGGAATGCCATTACCTTCCCACTGTGGTGGTCCCTATTTATCTACTCGCATTTTGCATGCATTCAAACCACTAGGTTGGCGGGAGCTTGGGACAAGCGACGGGAGCTCACTCCGTTGCGTGGATTCAATCTTACGACTGCTGGTCTTCTGACCTTGTAGCAGGTCCACCACCTCCCACTATGGGAGATGCTAAGAAGTGTTGTCCACAAAAGTAACTTCTCCAAGCTCTGCTCATTGGCTGAAAAGGTTCATTTTCCCACATGCCATTTTAAATGCTTCAGCAGCAGCCAGAAAGGCCATGGCTGAACTCCTAAGCAAACATAGCTGGGCACAGCGGTACAGCCTGGAGCAAGCAGCTAATGGCTGAGATCCACAGCTAAAGTAGGCTGACTGAATCAATGGAACTTATAAGGAGTTGACTCACCAAATCCTTGCCGATTCAATGGGCCTACACTAGTTGTGACTTGCTAGCGGATTTGGGAAAAGGCAGGTGAAACTTACACTCCCAAGGCAATTCAGTGGCAGTTTGTACAACAGGTTAAAGAAAAGAGAAGAAAACAGCCACATATCTAACTATGATAAAAAAAAGTAAAGGGACAAATTTGGAATAATTCGCTTACGGGACTTACCAGAAGATTGAAACCATGTTTAAATTTCTGCAAACAGTCTATAAATTCATCTGGGTGGGGAGGTTTTGCACGGAGAGTTAAGACACCCTCTGAGGAATAAAGGACAAAGCAAAAATCATTTCGTGGAATCTCTTGGAAGCTTTCATATCAACAGCCACATGAAAGTGAGGTCAGTGGGGACTGTAGCCCTATACGAAAGAGAATGAGGAAGCAGAACAATACTTCTGAATCCTTCTCAATGTTATGGAGAAGCAGCAGCATGTTAAGAGAACTCCTAACTCTGGAATTCTCCAGCTGTGTTGTTTTTTTATTTGGATGGAGTTTATAAATCAGAGAAATGTGGGGGGAAAAATGCTTCCACTCCTCCCACATTGTGAACAGGACAGCTGTAGACCAGCCTTAGGTATCTTCCTTTCTCCTAAAATCATCATCCGCACTCAATTTCGCATGTTTGAAACCTGAATACCAAATTTCAGAGCGTTAGTTGGGCTCATGCATACATTTTATCCAGGGATATATGGGAAAAAGGAGACTTCAGACCCGACCCCCCCCCCCGAAGAGCTTTGATCTGTTTTCTAGTAGATGGTGAGCAGCATCAGTTTATTTATTTATGGCACTTTCTGTGGATAAAGTGATCTTAATAACAAAATTATCCTGTGCCATCAAGTCAATTCTGACCCTTCAGGGTTTCCCCAGGCAGAGAATGCTCAGAAGTAGTTTATCATGCTCTTCTTCTGTGGGTGACCTTGGACTGCGCAGGTTGCCCAAGGCCACACATGTCGAATGTTCCATGCATCAGCTCAAACAACTATGATGCAGTAGTTAAAATGAAGGGCTTATATGTGTGAAAGCTGGACAGTGAAGAAAGCTGACAGGGGAAAAACTGATTAAAATGTAATGCTGGAGGAGGGCTTTGGAGTGTCAGAAAGTCAAGTATGTGGGTCCTAGAGCAAACCAAGCTTGAACTATCTCTGGAGACAAAAAGGTTGAAACAGAGGCTGTCCTATTTTGGGCACATCATGAGAAAGCAAAGTTCTATGAGAAAAAGACCATAATGCTGGGAAAAGTTGAAGGCAGAAGGAAAAGAGGAAGACTAAATATGAGAAGGACTGTCTCCCTAAAGGAACCCACAGGTTTGAATTTATAAGAACAGAGCAGTTGAGGACAGGACACTCTGGATGTCACTCATTTATAGGATTGCCATGAGTCAGAGGTGACTTGGTGCTACATAACAACAAACCTAGGTTCAAAATCACACTGGGCTAAAAAGAAAACCGATTACTGTTGGTAGACCATGATCTCTCTTAGCTTAATGTATGGCACAGTCAAGACCAAATATAGTAGCTGACACATGGCAGCCAGCAAAAAACAGGCCCACATCTTGATCTCTTCCTCTCATTGATCATGACTGATGCTGCCAACTATGGGATGCAACGCCATTCCTTGGCAAGTGTTTTCTCCCCCACAAGTGGCACACTGTGAAATAGAATGGGACAACTCCCACTCCAGAAGTGTCATATCTGGAGCTATCATCCAACCAGAAAAAATCTTAGCTGATTAATTAAATGAATTTTAATTGGCTAATCAGTTCAGTCTGCCTAGATTTCCATATTATTAAAGCAACAATTTTGTTTGCAAGAGGCACATTCGGTTCTTATGAGTAGAAGGTACAGGACATCATCTTCGAGACAATGCCTTGCAAATTTATATCGAAAATTATTAACTTAAAAAAACATACTGCCATGAATCAGAATGCCTTTTCAGCGGAATAATAATGTAAGCAATTAATTGGTTTAAAGCTTTGTGTTCGTTTACACCACTAAATATTAAAAGGGAAGAAAACAGGATTAAGGAGATGGCCTGATGCTACCATTTTCAATGACAGTCATGCAAAACATCTTGTTTGGGCCTGAAATAAATCTCTGAGCATCTCAGAAGGGATTAAATTCTTGCAAACAAAGAATCAGTGAATTGCGAAGACTGCTTGGCTGAAGCTGATTCCTCCCTTCCCCCTTCAAATATGCACTTAAAAAGAATTCACTGACCACAGAGGCTAAGGAAAGATCATTTGCAGCCTTAGATAAGAGCTTCGGTCCATTGGTCCGAAGACTCACCTAGTCTAACATTTTTCTCGCACCGCGTCCAGCAGGATGTGAGAGCAACTATATTCCTCTACCTTGCTTTTACTGGTTACTGATCTTCAGAGGAATACTGCCTCTCATACTGAAGGTTTTCCAGTACAAATCATCTTGATTCATAGCAGAGTGCAACAAGGATGATCAGGGGATTAGAAACAAAGTCCTATGAGATAAGACTGAAAGAACTGAGCATGTTTAGCCTTAAGAAAAGAAGACCAGGGGGAGATACGATATCACTTTTCAAATATTTGAAAAGTAGCCTTACAGAGGAGAAGCAGGATCTGTTCTCAATCATCCCAGAGTGCAGGACATGTAGTAATGGGCCTAAGCTACAGAAAGCCAGACTGAGGCTGAATATCAGGAAAAACTTCTTAACTATTAGAGCAGTACAACAATGGAACCATTGTCTCAGGAGGTAGTGAGCGCTTCAACACTGCAGGCATTCAAGAAAAAATTGAACAAGCAACTGTCAGATTTGCTTTGATTTGGATTCCTGCTTTCAGCAATGGGTTGGAACCAATGGCCTTATAGAACCCTTCCAAATCAATTACTCTATGATTCTATGATAATAATCATAGTTGAACTTCACCTCCACAAATTTATCTAAGACTCTTTTAAAGCCACCCACATTAGCACTCATTATTATGTCCTCCGGCATTGAATTCTGCACTTCATGCTATAGGAAGTGTTTCTTTTATCCATGCTAGCTGGAGAATGATGGGAGTTGTAGTCCACAAATCCAGTTTGGGCAAGTTTGATGAATTGGGAACGAGAGGGGAGAGAAAACAGGGGTAAAAGGGTATCCTTACCACCAGGCCCTTTCTTTTTATTCTTCTTGGTTTTTTTCCTCTTGGAAAGCTCAGCAAAAGCTTCGGCTGCTTTCTGAAGTTTGGTGACAAAGTATTCAATATCGTCCAAGATGTGATTTAGAATTTGCTAAGGCAAAAAAAACAAAAAACAAAAAAAAACAAAGGAGTTTAGACACGACAAACTACAGCATGCTTAGTCACCTCAGTAGAGGCAGCATGGAGGATGAGGGAAATATTCATCTTCAGGAAGCTAAACATGCTAAAATTATTATGACTGGCATTTCTCTAAAGCTCAAACCTATTTTTTTCATTGTTTCCCGAAACCATCGTCATTAGAAGTGCTTTGCAGGTAAGTACTGGGACAAAAGATCAACTCTTAGTGGCTTTGATTCAACTCACAAAACAATTGCTTTTCAAAACATCACTTTCTGGAGTGGTATGGAGAGCTATTTTTACCTCAGCTAACTCATTCTTTAAACAACTCCGCTATTAGAAAATTATAAAACTATTATTCAGGTCTAGTTGGGATTCCTGCATTAAGGAGAGAGAGAGAGAAACTTAATGAACCATGTTTAATGGGAGTAGCAAAGGAGATCGCCATATAGGTGAAGGATCCACAATGCATGCAATGGAAGTTCTGAAGTGTCCCTTTCACTGCTTGTTTTTGTGAGACTCAGAATTTGTGCATCAGCTGAGTAGAGACCTTGACTTCTCTACAAGGTCTTTGCCTCTCTGTCTGAGCCCACAGAGCGATGAACAGTGCTGCAGTAGAAACATAGCTTCAAATCCTAGCTCAGTCACACAAAGCTCACTTTGATCACTTGCCTGTCGCTATTTCTTGGTCTATCCTACCTCACAGGGTCCCTCACAGAAGATAAAACAGGAAGAGCAGGGGGAAAAGGAACATGCCAGCTATACTAGGCTTTGGGCAGGAAGAGTAACAAAATAAGTAACAGAAACACAAAGCAACAACAACATGAATCAAATAACAAGGAAACAAAACCAGAGGCAACAATAATTACGTTGAGCCCCACTACTAGCTTGTGGGAGTGATTTGGAGAACTTATACTGCGAACACCCTGGGGTTCTTCAGAAATTGACTGAGCTTTCTAAATTAGAGCGTCAGTTATGACAGATAAACTCTTCCCCAGTCCTGTCAGCCTGGCTTTTGAGGCAAACCAGAATCTTGTGGTGCATACGCCACTCAGGCAGTAACACACTACATCCTTCATGAAGGGAATGTGCCACACAAAACACACACACACCCTGGAAACATCCACAATAGCAGGTGCTCTGGGACTTTGAAAAGTCTGAAAACCAGTTGACTTAAGGAAGATTTTGCTTGCCTTGCTCCTTCTACCTCCGTTATTCGTTGGCACCTCACTACACCCTTTGACTCACTCCTCTCTTTCCCCTAAAGGCCTAATTCAGACATATATTTTAGATTTAGAAGGGAGGGAGGGGGGAGGAAGGGAGGAAGCCAGCCTTGGGGTTGCTTGGCAATGATAGGATATGTTTCTCATCTAGCTCTAAAGGCCATTTTGCACTTTATGGAGGAATTGTGTTTGTGGCTGGTATTCTAGTAAAATACGTAAAATGTGAAAGGTCACAGAGTACAGTATTTTAGAACACGCCTTGGACTTAGGGCAGCAACTGTTAGCAATATAGAACTCAATGTCAGAGATCCAGTGGAGCTTTCCTGATATAAGCCGTGCCCTTACATTTCATGTGTTGATTGTTTGCAAATGCCAGTGTTAACAAAACATACACAACTGTAACCTTGTCTGTGACTCCACTTCTCAGCCTGGGAAGAGGCCACTGAGCTCATGCTGCCAGCCAGCCAGCCAGCCAGGATTCACAGGCGATGAAAATGGTTCGTGAACCACTGAAAGTCTAAAGCTGGTTGCCTGAGGGCCAGCTAGCTCATGCAGCGGACACAGAAAGGCCCCTGGTTTGGTTGCCTTGGCACTGAGTACCTCCAAAAGGCAAACATAGTTAATTGCACTCTGAGGGAAGAAGGATTTGCACCGAAGTCCCACTAGTGAAAAAACGCAGGCATTGGGGGGGGCATGAAAGGGAAAGAGGTGCCTATTTAATCTGTCCCTTATCTTCATTCTACCTCTTGAGGTTGTAGCTTTATCCCTTCTGCTATCTGTCATCCAGTTGCTTCCGATTGATTGTGACCTTAGGAATTAGTGACCCCCAAATGGTTCTATGCAAGCTTGAGGTCACGGCTTCCTCCATTGAGCTTTATCCCTAATACAATACATGAGGAGAGGAATGTGTCAGTCCTGCATGCCTCTGTCGTCACTTTCCTCACCCTCTTTATATGTGGAGGGTGGCAAATCCAAAAGGGAGAGACTCCATCGTCTATGAAGAAGTGTACTACTTTATAAGACTGTGTAAGCTTTCCTGGCTTCCAATCCACTTCCTTACACTCAGCTGTCTGAGGAATTGATTGCAATCTGCAAAAGTTTACACAGGTTTACTCCTGTGTAAGCTTTCCTGGCTTCCAATCAACTTCCTTACACTCAGCTGTCTTAGGAATTGATTGCAATCTGCAAAAGTTTACACTGAAATAAATCTGCTCTACTTAAAACACCAAATTACTTGCTTTTGTTTTGTTTTTGACTCAAACTAATATGGCTACCTCACAGACAGTAATAAGTTTTGGAGGTTTTCTATATGAAGTGGAACCCAGGAAAACTGACTCATATAACAGATGGTTATCTCTGTTCCGGCTCATCCCTTTCCACGTGTGGGGGGGGGGTGATGGTGTCAGGGTCAATAAGGGGATGAGGATAGCACATTTCCCTTCTCACACATGGCACCCCCATATAACTGAATAGGGATTCCATGTCAAGTAGTTGTTATGGATACCCAGTGTGGTGTAGCGGATAGAGTAATGAACTAAGACTCAGGAGGCCTGGGTTCAAATCCCTACATAGTCATGGAGATTCACTGGAGGTGCAGAACTGGTAAAACTACCCCTTAAATTTCTCACTGCACTTGAAAGCCCTGTTAGGGTTGCTATAAGCCGGTTCCCACTTGACAGCACATAGCAACTCTGTTATGGATACCCAGTGTGGTGTAGTGGATAGAGTAATGAACTAAGACTCAGGAGGCCTGGGTTCAAATCCCTACATAGTCATGGAGATTCACTGGAGGTGCAGAACTGGTAAAACTACCCCTTAAATTTCTCACTGCACTTGAAAGCCCTGTTAGGGTTGCTATAAGCCGGTTCCCACTTGACAGCACATAGCAACTACTACAGGTTGTTATGAGCAGAAATCTGGGTAACACCCAAGACCTCCTCAGAAAACCCATGCACATAAGTGCGCACACCCTTCTTCTTCCACTTACAACATCTCTGTCGATCTTGGCTGCCATCATTTCAGCTGTTTCTTCATGCTCGTGGAACTGCCGTGGCTTCTCAACTAAGAAAAGAAGCAGATGATGTCAGCTGTCGACCACAACAACCACAGGGAAAAGTGGTAATGTTCCATGTCCCCATCCACAAAAGTGAGAGAACCATTGACATAAAGGAGACAATGTTTATCACACGTGAGTTGTGAAAAGGGTCATGGTAATATATTGTTCCATCTACCAACCCACAATTTCCAAAGAGGAAGAAATAAATCCTTAAACAGATACTCCTGAGTCAGAAAGCAATCCACATATTTATTCAGATCTATACCCCATACAAATAAAAGTGTGGTAAATGATTAACCAACAATATGCATATCTCAATGTGTTGTGGGACACTTTCTCCTAGATAAGTGAAGAAAAAAAAACGGTGCCCTATATTATGCAAAGCAGGAAAACTAGAGCATGTGAAAGCAAAATCTAGCTTTAACTGATAAAGACTTGGATCTAATAAAGATAAAGGCTAATCCCAACCGTATTGCATTCACCAGATCAGTGGTTGACAATCATTCAGCAATTAATTTGGACCAGCTGTTCAAGATAGGCCACTGAATTTTAATATATTCATTGTGGAATCCACACAATTCTCCTTGTTAGTCCTGTAAATCCTTGCCCGTGACAACAAGAAATCTCCTTCCACCACCCCCCTTCCTTGTCCATGACATAGTAAGATATTTTCTGCCAGGATCAACAAGCATGATCACACTTGCAAGCCTGATTTTAGGCAAAGCGCAGAAACTGTGCAAAACTATGATGGCTGTTGCTTTGCTTGCCGACTTGCAAGGATTTGCACGCACGGGAGAGGGCTGTTTGTATCTTTTTCAGCCATCAGCCAGTTGTCCTGGGTGTGCTTTGTTTATCAAAGGGAAAGGATGCTGCACTTGCACAGAGGTACTTTGTCTGAATTACAGGCATTATCCCGCACCCCAACAAAAATGCTCCCCTTATTCTCAGGCTAGCAATCGCAGGCATGACAAATTTCTCAAAGGACGTCTCACAAAGACGGAACAATTTTGTATGGATTTTTCACATTTCTACTGCCCATATTCTACTAGTGCATTCATGGTACAGAAGGAGGTCAGCCGGTCACCTGCAGCCCACGGGCATAGGTTCAACGGGCCTGTGACAGAGACGCGTCAGCCTTCAATTTGCATGGTTAGCTCATTTCAGTAACACTCACAATCGCCTTGTTCAGCTGCCCAAGCCGACCAGGCCGCTACTCGACTTCTGACATCCACCTGCGTGACGGTACCTGGGGGGACAGGAGCTGGCGCTCTCGGAGGTGGAGGAATCATGTTGTCAGCTTTGGAAATCATCCTAGGCAGCAGACACAACAAATCTAAACTGAAAGACTAAGAAAATGAAATTTCCTCACTGCAACCCGCAACATTTTTTTTTAAAACAAGGAGGGGGGGGGTATGGCCTTTATGCTAAAATCTCAGATATATTGTCAACCCTCTCTGTGGGAAGCAACACGCAGCAACATCAATAAATTATAAATAAGAATCATCAAAGGAGCTTCTCAGTGAAACAGAATATTAGACACTTCCACATTGAAGCCATGTTTTCGTACAATGGATGCATATTAACAAATCACTATTCACTAAAATAAAATCAGATATAATGGATATATTATCTTATGCTGTTTTGAGGAAATTAATATTATTTCCGAGACAATTCAGTGAATCGATACTTATCAAAAAAAAAAAGACCAGGTTTCACTCAGAAGTTTTAAGAAAAGTAAAAATATTCACATTTTCACAGAGGTGTTTTATTTTTTTGTAAAAAAAACAACAACCTAGAAGCTACTGCAGAAAGAGACAAAGAGCGCAGACAGAATTCTACAAGTACCAGCAAAGGAGACTTAAAAGAGTGAATGAGGATTATAGTTGGATATTTGCAATGCTGTAGTGCATCCTCTTCATCCATCGCTAGCCCTACCATGAGGCAAAGTAAGGCTACCCGCTCAGGCAGCAGATGAAGAGTATCAAAAAGAGAAAATAAATGGTTAGTTATTTACTTTTTTAATTATTATTTTTACCTCAAAGGACGGGGAAAGGACCCTATGGGATTTTTCTGCCTTGTCTCATTTTAGGCACTCACTAGGCTCCTTGGTGTGAGCAGTTTCGAGCACTGTTTTGTTATTCCGCCTCAGCCACCGACAGGCTCCGTCACCTTCCTCAAATGGGGTGGGGCCGAGTGAAGCCTGTCGCCTGGACTGCATGTCCTTCTCAGGGACTCAAATACAGCCACCCAGACTCCTAAGGTAGCCTGGTGTGGGGGCATTTTTCCATGTTATGAGAGTCTCAGGTGTGCCAATTTAATATTTTTGGCCACTAGAGGTCACAAAAGTGATTTTTTTTTTCAGTTTAAAAACAACCCCACACCATTTTTGTAAGAAAAAAACCCTAGAGATTCTGGAAATAGGTGCAGCCCTGTAAGTGCAAAAGAGGTACGTTTGGCTTCTGCAACCCTGGATATTGGTCCATCTATGTGTCCTCGTTCAGCATTCTCTCAGCAGTTCCTTTCTTCAACAGCACTACAAGCAAGCAAGGAATTGTAGTCTCTGCACTCCCTAGTTCTCACTTTTCCCCTCTAAATATTCCACTGATACTGAGCATATTTAGTGTTCCTGAGGTACGGTTTTGTCTCATGCTGTCTTAAGAAAAGTTTTTCTACTCCCCTCCCTTTAATACGCTCTAGTTCAGTGCTTTCCAAAATTGGGTCCCCAGACATTCTTGGACTGCAACTCCCAGAACCCTTTGCCAGCAGAGCTAGTGGTGAAGGATTCTGGGAGTTTTAGTTCAAGAACATCTGAGGACCCAAAGTTGGAACCAGTGGGCAGGGAAATCTCAGGAAGGGGTTGTAATTCAGGATTTCAGTTCAGAAAAGAGGGGCAGTGTTGGAGAGCACAGGAAGTGCTAATCACCTGGAGGATAATGTAGGCCATTGCCACTTTGCTGGAGGGCTTCAAAGATTACACACCTGGAGTTTTGTGTTGTGATTCTCCCAATGTGTTTCTATCAATGTTGTTCTTGTTTTATTATTTGGGAAAAAAACAACCAATATTTTTGTAAAGTTTATTGTGTTTGCAATATTCTAGAACAGAGTCCCATGGAACCAAGAGTGATACATTAGTGCTAAACCAGATGTTCAGGAAAATGTATTTTACCTGCGGATAGCCTGGTTCTCCTTCCCATGACACAATATTTCAGGAGACAGGAGGTTAAGCAATCAGATTTGCAAACGAAGCATGTGTTTACCTTCCCCTTGACCAGTGACAAAACAAAGTTCTTGGAATGCAAGGTAGAATGCTGAGTGAGAAAGAACGCGCCATGACAACCCTCATTTTGCATTTGAGAAAGCCTCATTTCTAAGAATGTGCAAACTGCATTGTATGTCAGGCCTTCAGGGATTCTATTTTGAACCAATCTCTGGCAGTCCTCACCACCAGTTTCCTACGAGAGAAAGTGATATGAGAACCACCTTTACAAAATCAAAGCTTATTGTATTACCTGAGTGTTTCGAGTCTCCTCTTTGGCTTTCCTCCTTTGCTGTCAGCGATTGCACTTTCAATATCTTCATGGATAAAATTTGCCTGAGTTGAAGGAAAAGAATTACGAACTGTGAACCTGAGTAGGGCACATCCTAAATGCCTTTAAAAGCAATGCTGCACAAATGCTGTGGTAAGGAAAGAAAAAGTATAGCCCCTGGAAAAGAATTCTGCAGTGAGAAAAGCTGAATTCTGCAAGTTAGATAAATTATGCAAATTGAATCCTTTGGTTCTGTTGTCACAAAGAGGAGCACGACACAGTGGGGTGTATGGATGTCCCTCTTGGATCACTGGAAGTTTTATTGAGAAACCAGGGAAGTTGCTTAGGTACAGCAGAGTGGCCCTAAATGAAAAATTATAAGTAGAGACTCCATCATGCTCAATCAGACTATTTGACCATTTGTTTCAGCATCATTCTCCAACAGTGGCTACCAGGGTATCTCCAGTAGTCTACTAGTCCCTTCTTCTGGGGCCATTCTGGGATTGTGCAGCTTGCCCAGGGCCACACAAGATGGCTCTACTCACAGGAGGCACCGTGGGGAATTGAACTTGCAAGCTCTGGCTTTGCAGTCAGATACCTAAACCACGGAGTTATCCAGCTAGCCATCATGACTGATAAGAACCGTCTGCCATAATTTTACTTAACCCACTTTTAACCCATCTAAGACAGCAGTCAACGCCATTTCTTTCTGACAGTGAATTCCTTGAGCTTTGTTGTGTGTGGTATAAAGGCAATATAATATTTTTATTTCTCAAACCTAATGCCTCCCATCGGGTCATCCTGCATTTTAGTATCACAAGACAAGACAAAGAAAAGTCCTCTTTTTCAATGAAGTTAGTTAATCTGCTGCAACAGAACAATAACTATCTTTAAGATCGATGGATTTGTTATAGCATGGGAAAAATGTTCTTTTCCACTTATTTTATTTACATGACACATAGCTTTACAGTGGGGTCTTGACTTGAGAACTTAATCCGTATTGGAAGGCGGTTCTCAAGTCAAAAAGTTCTCAGGTTAAATCTGCATTTCCCATAGGAATGCATTGAAAACTATTTGATCCGTATCTGCTCTTTTCCATCCATAGAAACTAATGGGAAGCTGCTATTCTGCCTTCGACCACTAGAGGGGGATATTTTGTTTCTTTTTTTCTTAGGTCAAGAAAGGTTCAGGGAAGGCAGGGAAAATACAGTCCAGGCAGGACAGTACCAGGCAGTCCGAAGACTGTCTCCCAATCCACTCTCTAAACGCTGGGAGGAGTGAGGAAGCAGACAGGCACCCTTTTCACTGGCCAACCGTTAACTGAAAGTTCAACTTTTGCACTTTCCCTGCCTCCCACGTGGGTTTTTTTCAGTTCTTAACTCAAATCTAAGTATGTAAGTCAAGTCAATATTTTCCTGTGAGAGTGGTTCTTAAGTCAAAATGTTCTTAACTCGAGCCGTTCTTAAGTCAAGACCCCACTGTAGATGTCTCCTTCATATCTCTTTTTATAGGAATCCATTTTCCCTTTCCAGTTATTAGCCCAATGCAAGGTTCCCTGTAAGGTGCACGGCTGCGTGAGCGTCTCCGCTCCCTCCACACAAGGATCCTCCTCCTCCATGCACTCACAGCGATTATTTCTAGTTCCTTTGGTTCCGGTCACAATGGAACCCCGTGGTGGTGGTGGTGGTGGGTCAGAGTCACACAAGTGCGAGGAGCGGAGCTGTAGGCGAGAAGGGCAGAATCCTGCCCAGCAGGGCTGAAAATTAGAGAGAACATTGGCCCGGAGCCATAGGAAGGACATAAAAAATAACAGAGCAAGGCAGAGGGAGATAAGTTGTGGGTTACTACTCTCAGAATTATGTGAGTTTATCCAGAATCCTTCGAGCTACCTAGAAAAACTACTTTCCCAGGCTCTGGAAAGTAATATAGCTCAGTGGCAGACCACACACTGTGCAAAAAATCTAAGGTCCCAGGCTTTGGAAAGTAATACAGCTCAGTGGTAGACCACACACTGTGCAAAAAATCTAAGGTTTAATTGTTGGGTCCCAATAGAGGATGTTGAGAAAGAACTTGGTTTCAAATCGTGGACAGGCAATACTGGAGTAAATGGAGTAAACATCTAGTCCAGCCATTCTCAATGATTCTACTATAGAAGAGCTCCCCATTTTAGGACATGATTACATGGGATTTTGAATTAAAGGTGGTCTAGTTGACAGTTGTCAGACCCTGGAGAGCTGTTGCCATTCAGAGCTGATAATACTGGGCAAGATGGATCAATAATCTGACTTCATATAAGGCAGCTTCCTATGACTGCCATTTTGGGGCCTGGCCCTTGGTACTCTCCAACCGAAGATGCTTCTGGGGAAACTAATGAAAGGCCATGGCCTTAAGGAGCATCTCCACTGTTGTCTGCCGTGTCTCACTGCCTCTCAGACATCTAATTATTCCATTTTTGCTCCTCCTGACAAGAACTCAATTACACCATTGCAATATGCATGGCACTCGCTGCTCACATCTGCTTACACGCTAACCACCTCAGGACAATCATTATCCACGGGAGTCAATAATATTTACAGATGGTGAATGGCGGGGTGCCAAGCTCTTTTCAGGGTCATTGGCCCATCAGCAAAAAAAAAGCCTTCCACATGCAGGAAATGTTCTGCTGGCCGAGTTAACACTTTGAAGAGTTCCTCTTCAAAAACTGCAGGACAGTTTTGGGTCTGCCAACATTAATGTTCTTCACACTTCTTCAGAAGCCAGAACTATCACATTTTCATCCACATCTTTACTTGTCAGGTAAGAAAACTTTGATCCAGAAGGTTTTTCTAACTCAAGAGCATATCCCTCTATGCCGCCTTATAAAATCAAATCCATGTAATAAGTATCTGACCATTTGGGTTTTTTTTCCCCTGATATCTTATAGCTAATATCAAGGAAGGGATTTTCTGATTTCTTGGACTAGAAATTCCATACCCCCCCACCTCGGATGTTCTCTCTCACGTACATATGCTTACTGATACCTAAACGAGGCTCACCTCAGAGAAAAGACCTAAATGGGAAGACTTTGATGCTTAGCCAAGCCTAGCTTCACCCAAACCTATTGACGACGAAATAGTGCTAACTGGGAGCTTTCTTCCTGAGCAGAAAGCTTGGGTGGAGTTAGAAGCCTCAAAACTTCCTCATTCAGGGACGCCACATTTAGATGTTTGTAAGGTACGGTGGTGCCTCGCAAGACGAGTGCTTCGTTTGACGACGAAATTGCATAATGTTGAAGATTTTGCAATTGCAAAAGCAATCGCAAAACGATGTTCCCTATGGATTTTTTTCGCTTTGCGATGATCGGTTCCCTGTTTCGCTAACCGATTATCGCAAAATGACGATTTTTGCACAGCTGATCAGCGTTTTCAAAATGGACAGCGGGTAAAAAATGGCCACCCGCTGTTTTCTGGGACGGATTCCGTGCTGCATGGGCAGCAAAAATGGCCACGCTATGGAGGATCTTCGCTGGACGGTGAGTTTCCAGCCCATAGGAACGCATTAACTGGCTTTTAATGTGTTTCTATGGGCTTTTTAAAATTTCTTTACGATGTTTTCGTTCTACAGCGATTTCGCTGGAGCGAATTAACATTGTAATGCGAGGCACTACTGTATGTGCAAATCCGACAGAATTCCCAGAATGTGGAAATATAGGTTTTGTAGTTAAAAAAATCACAATCCCTAGTTAATAGGTTTAACCCACAGTGCCACCACATCCCCCCTAGTTAATACACAGTGCCAAATTTCTATATGTAGGGAACAACTGTACATCAATTAGTGGTTCTCAGTGTATCACTGATAGGGCACAGAAACAGCCTAGGCTGGGGGTACAGGGTTTTTTAAAACAATTATTTTAAATGTTCTCTCTCTCTCTCTTTGTGCCCCATTCCAGCCATTAATGACCCATCTTGACTCTTTTGGCATTCCACTAGTAACTTTAGACACTCACGGTTTCCCCTAAACCCTCCCTTATCCATGAACACCATGACAGTGATAAACACAATGACAGAACACTTGTAAACATATAAATTTCCTCCCAGAAAACACAGGCTTCTTGTTAAGTTCAGTGGGCTCGTTCTTAAAACTCCACAAAACAAAGCAGGAGCTGTAGCAGTTTTGTGCCATGCGTATTATTTGTGGAGAAACATTCTCACAAATCCAAAAATGGTCACACAGATCGACAGAGAATATTACATTCTTCCATACAAGGAGGCACATTTTGCAATTTCTAATTTCTGTGCACAAATGAGGATTAACATCCCTTTAAAAATGTGGGTGGGGACTTTGCCAAGAGAGCAAATGATACTGGATGCCTGAGTGGTTTGCCACAACCAGAAAAAATAGCAATGGTTTATTACAAACCAAAGGATATGTTAGTGATCTCATTCTCTTTCATGCATAAAAGAGGGAACCAAAAAGCTGAACTCGGCTTAGTCTTATAACAAATATGATTTGTCATTTTATCTGAATAAAGTCTTCATGTGATTTCTCCATTTGCTTTTGTCCTCTGCAGGAGATCCAGGGCTTAAGTGGGGGGCCTACGTACGGGTAGTGGGGATGTTACAGTTAGCACAAGAGATAAAGAGGGCTACACCCACTTGCGTCACATCCAAGTTTGTCCACACTCAGAATAAATGTAACAGACACTTCAGACTTCAAACTAAAGGTTATTCAATTTGGATATTCCCATTCTTATTCACCCTGGGCAAATTTCATTTCTTTGAAATTAAAATAAATGAAACTGAAATTTCAAAAAAATATTGTCATATGAAGACTGTTACTGTTCTGTGCTGTCAAGTTAGAACTGACTATTGTATGATAAGAGATTTGAATGCTTTTTTAAATAAAGAACTAGACACAAAATCAGATAAAATAACCCAAAAAGAGAAAGGAACAATCTCAAGAAATTTTCTACAATTGGTGAAGAAGAAAATATCATAGATGCCTGGATGACATGTTACCCAAAGTCAAAAGAGTATATTTTTTACTCTAACAGACATAAATCGTGGTCAAGAATTGATGCATGTTG